ACTTAGGGAAGTTAAATTACCAGTTGAAATCATACAATTTGAAGCAGCAGATGATTTTCAAATTGTATTTAGTAGATGAGTGCTGGAATATCTAAGAATATTTAATATTTTCTCAGAGGTTTCTTTGCTAAAGATGTTTTAATGAGAAATGAAGGAAAAAGTGCTCACCCTTGATCTGGGCAGAGCAAAGAGAGCTGTGTTTATTGCTTTCCAGTAAGTACTTAATGATACCAGTTTTGACGTGTGGGTGTAAAATATAAACAAACTTAAGTACACACATGGAGATCTGTATGTCTAGATATGTTTATCTCTAAGTATTACAGAGATACTCTCTGTATGAGCTCTGAGTGAAGCTACACAGATGCACAAACAATAATTACTTCTCCACAGAAACAAAAAAAAAATCCTTTCTAAGTCAAAAAGAGCCTATTGTGTTTGAAGTTGCAACAGAAAAAAAAAAAAAAAACAAACAAAAACAAACCCACATCCTAAAATTATATCTATTTAGCAAACACTCTGCTCCATTTAGGAACTCTGCCTTTTAAATGAACAAGCAAATTTTTAACAGATCCGCGTGTTTTGTAAAATATGTCAAACAAACTAAAGAGAAGGTCTCCTAATTACTCATCAAACAGCCTGCAGTCAGCAGGGAATGCAGCCGCAGTGATATGTTGCACTAATGTTAGGGCAGACCCGAAATATTTCCTCTTGGAAAATAACAACAGCGGCGGCGGCGGCACCCGCTCGGCAGCGCCTGCGGCTCGGTCCTGCCAGGACTCTGCCTGTGCTGGGCATTCCAGGGGGGCAGCTGGGGGCTCCAATTAAACCTCACTCAGCAGCCACCTCACGTGGCTTTTTGGGGTTAAACCCGCCGTGTTCTGGACAAAGTTTCGTGTTCACACAGCTTATTTATCCTTTTTTTTTCCTTTTTTTCCTCTCCTTCTTTGTATTAAATGTCTACCACAGCTAATTAGAAAATATGCAGAACTGCTTCCTGGTTGAAGTGTGGAATTGTGTTAAAGCCCGTTAGGTAGGAACAGGAGAAAAGTCCCCATTAGGCATATTAATGTCAGTCCCTTTTAACAAAGCTGCTCCCTGCTCTCGGCGTTGGAATTCATTTGAAAATAAGAATACTGCGGAATTAGTGGCCTTCCTTTCACAGGCAGGGTGATGTTATCTGATATTAGATATATATAGATTATGCTGGTAGGGTAATCAGAGTGAAATTCCTTATTTCTGCGTAATTGCTATAAGCAAGGCCCTCTTATCCTGCTCTCCATCCTCAGCCAAAACTCTGAGTCACTTCAGGCTTTTTTCTAGGCAGCAGCTCTGGCACAGGGCTCACGGTTTGTAACTCTTCATGTCTCCCCTAAAGGGAGCAAGAGATGTTTGGCATGTCCCCAGCATGAGACATTTTTAAAGGTATATTTAAGACGTGCGTGTGTGTCTTGCAGAATTAAGGGTAGTAAGTAAAGGTTTGTGAAAATCCACAGCCTAAACTGGTCTGACCCTCATCAACTCCCAGCCTCGCTCCTCTGGCTGTTGGTAAATGTGGAGAGAGCTCAGACTGCCAATCTGCAGTCATTTACATTGAATAATTAATCTGATGTGCACCCCAATAGCAGCAAACAGAATCAGCCTGGTAATTTCACTGTGGCAAAGAATAGAATCCAACCCATAATTTCCACTCTGCTCTGATTTATTCTGTAATTCATATTTTCAACAATATGCAATCCATTAGCAGTACAGAAAAACATGCAGTAACTACTTGGGTGGACTCAGGGTTCTTGGGTTGCTCACAGACAGATGGCTTGTTTTGTGATGTTTCTGGTTTATTTTCCCTCCGCACTTTGCTCTCAGTTCTGTGGAATTGGTTTACTACTTCCATAGGATTTTTAAGATAAGTAGAAGGATTATTGGTCACACTCCTTGAAATTCATCATGAAGTGGGGCCGGCTTTGACTGCAGCTCGTTATTTGTTGCATCTCTCTAAAGTGGAATATGTTCAGGACACGCTCCCTTCCAATCTTTACAGAGAGGAAAACACTCTCAGCAGAATCTGCCTTCGCATCAGCTCCTGGAGGGTCCTTAAATAACTTCTCTCCAACGTGGCAATATTTCAATATCTGCTAAGAGATCCTTGTTAACAGGAGGGACCCCGGATCTCATAACTGGGTTTTTATTACAAATCCCAGGGATGTTTGCTCTATAGATACAAAAGAAAACTTCTGCTCTCTTGACTTTTTTTAAGGTAAATGTTTCAGGGGTTGTGTTTTTAAAACTATGTATATTTGGTAAATGCAATTCCCTGCCTTCTCTTAGCGGAACTTTATTTTCTTCCTTTATAGTAATACATAGATCTGAAATTCCAAGGGTTTCTGGTGCTTTTCAGCTGTCACCTCAAGTCAAAATCATGGAGTTCAGCTATAAAAAAAAAATGTATATAATAAATTTAACTTGACCTAACTGGAGGCTTTTAAAGTAAGCAGGTATATTTGACATTTAAAAAAGAACATTACTATGCCTGACTGTACTATCCATGTATCTCCTTGCTGCTATTTATCCCACAAAAAGCCAGACTGTGTCCTGAAGTTCAGTCTGCTCATTTCAGCAACAGACGGCAGGTCGGACACTTTGTTAAAATGGAAAAGACACTTGGAAAAGACACTGAGCCCCCTGAATGCGATCTCCAATCCCACCTCTGTATGGCCACGGATATTGTAGGATGGTGGATGGGCCCCCCTGTTTTTGCAGCATCCCACAAGGTCCTGAGCGACCCCTCAGCCCAGGGTCCGGACCAGCGCCTGTTCAGCGCTTACCGGGCGATTTCCCCCACCCAGCTAAACTTTCCTACTCCGGTCCAAATTTAATCAATTTTTTTTTTTTTTTTGTTTTGCAGCCTTTTGTAGATTGAGTCTTTTGTTAAGAAAGGACGTCTTGTTTCCCAAACACGGCGGGAGGAATCGCTGGCATCAGAGTGCCACCAAAAGGCAGCGGAGGAAATCGGCAGGCAGGCGCTGACCTTTGCAGAGACAGCTAAGGTTATGCACATAACATTTGCTTGTTTACTTTGCAAAATAAGCAGTGAGTTGGAAACTCCGAGCTTAGCAAGCGTCTCGCTACACCTGAAAAGCAACACTGACAACAACAGCAAAACCCCGTGGTTGTTGCCGGGTTTTGCTGTTGGTGCGGGTGGAAGCTGTTTCCCGCTCCCTTCTATATCTATCATGATGCAACTTTAATAACGTTAGCCAAGACTGCTCAGAAAATCACAGCTGTAGCTGGAGGCGAAAGGGAGAAAAAAAAAAAAAGGAAAAAGAAGAAAAGAAAGAAAGAGGGGGGAAAAAAAAAAAAGCTAAAATGAGGTGCTTCTCCCAAGCCTCACCTAGTGAGCTGAGTATTGGCTTATGCGTGAGAATAAGCAAACGAATCGATCGCTGCAGTAGGTTGATGGCTACTGGTCGTTTTGATGGATATGACGGTAAAAAAAAAGTCCAGATTGGTTCACAGTGGACCTCAAACCATGTCAGCTAAAACCAAAGAGACAAAAAAGTGACAGCTGCGGAGAGTACACTGCAGGCAGTCAATGGTTCCTGTGATTTATTGTTCCATCTGCCTTGCCGCTGTGAGGACAAGTTCCCCCTGATTTGGTTAAAATGAAAAGGACCTCAGAGAGCACAACGTGTTTTTTGAAAATGTGCAGAAACTATTTTTTTATTTCGTGATTTATGTGCCTTTCCCCCTCCATAATGTTTGCACCAATTGTTACCCAATAATGCTTACTGAAAAATGTGAAGCTTCCCAACCACTAAGAAATCCTCCAGGCAGCCCTCACCCCTCCACCCCAGCACAAAAAGAGAGGGGGGAAAAAATAGAAGAGGGGGGAAAAAAAGACTAAAAAAAAAAATACCTGCATAAATAACCCAGGCTGTCAAAGCCAAGCCAGAAAACTAGTTTGTCTCTTTTTTAACCTTCCTGCTTTCCAATTAACAGCCGTGTTTCGGAGCCTGCCAGGCTGCGAGGCAGTTAAAAGCCAGGCTCAGCAAAGGCTGGTGTGTAACCATTTAATATATTAGAGAGTTCTAACCCCGATTATAAATTTGCAGAGCCACCCAAGTGCTATGGCCAAGAGTTTCCCCATTCCAAAGGGTTTCACTGGAGTGGAGGGGGCAGAGGGGACGGAGCCTTTTCTGGATTCGCACACCAACTTTTTTCGCCGTTTCGGACTTGAAAAGGAACATTTCCTTCATGCAGTTGATGTAGCTTATTACCCCATTAAAGAGAAGCACCACACGACACTTCTGTCAGGGTAACACCGAGGCCTAATCAACACTTGGAGGTGTAACACAACACAAATAATCTCTCTCCTCAGGGAAGCCGGAGTAGCAGCCTGAGAAACACTCCGGCTTTTCCCCGGGAGGATTCAAGTATGCCATAGCAGAAATATGGTTAATGTTTTAATACATTTATGGAGCATAAATCATAAATGAAGCATTAAGCATCCGGTGCTCTCTCAAAAGTTTGAGCAAATACAGGCAAATTGAAGGAATCTGCTAGAGCGAGGTATTGATAATTTTCCATGTGTATCACACAGTGGGGAAAAAAATGGACGCGGGGCCTCGGAGCCCTGCCGCCTCCTCGCATACATTATGTTCCCCACTTAATGCCATATGAACCAGGAACCCACAAGAAGCCAAGGGAAGGCTCTTCCTCTCCCCCTCCAATAAATGTTTCATGCAGATCAGCAAATTTTCAGCAATTTCCCATGAAAAGGCTGGTGGGGGCCTGCGGTGCGCGGCGGGGCGCGGGGTCCCCGGCGGCCTGACCCCGGCAGCGGCCACTTCCTGGCTCCAGGTTTCCTTCGGCCTCGCAGGTCCAGCCCGGTGTCAAAAGCTGGCCTTGTCTCCTGTCTCAGGATGTTGGTTTTACCTCTCAAGTGTTTCCTGAATTTGCAAAAAAATTCTTGGGGTTTCGTTTTTTGTTGGTTTGTTTTTTTTTTTTTCCTTTCTGGCGGCTGTCTGTGTGTTCAAAAGCCCATTTACCTTTGATGGGGAGGGAGAATAAAGCATAAATATGGGAAAAAAAAATAAGAGTAAGAAAGAAAAGGGAAAGAAAAGCAAGAGAAAACAAGAAGGAAAGAAAGAGAGGGAGAAAGAAAAAAAATTCTTAGTCGCTACTGTTGAGCAGGGGGTTTTCTCCCGGGACCAGTTCTACTTTTGGAACATGTTATTGTCAGGCAGAGGTCAACATCTTTTACCTCTTTTTTCCATTATTCAAAATAAGTATTGATGTTATGTTTTAGCTATTTAAAAGCCAGCTGCCTTGCTCATTTCAGATATTTTTCCTGGTATTATTGTATGTGGTAATAGCTGGCCTGTGTATCGTCTTTCACAAAATCTACCCTTTCAGGGTCTCAGTCTTCAAATGATATCAATCAAAATTTATGCAATTCAAAATCCATATGTATAGAGTCCCAGTTCACCTCATTTAATGATAATAGTAAACCACATGTTGTGTACATGTCTGAAACACTTTTCTAGTTCTTGACTGTATTAACCCTAGGGGCACTATGTTTTTGTACAGCTTGCCCAACTGAGCAGCATAATATATTGATTAATACTTGGCAACAACTGCATTCTTGAATAATAAAACCATGAACAAGGTAAACGTGCGCTAATAAAACAAGAAGAGTGTCAATATTATTTGGGGATGTATGTTAATAAAAGATGCTAAAGAACAGGCGAGCCCCTGGCCCCACAATTAACAAAGCTCAGTGCCTAAAGCTGCTCCCATTCCAGCCCCGTGTGATGTCGTTATCCGAGAGCCTCCTCGCCTACCTGGGCATCCGTGAGACGGCCACAACAAATGCTCCATATTTATGGGGGCTGCGTCCAGCACTCGGGGAAAAAAGTTCAGCTTTTCCCGCTCTGCAAAAGGCAAATTAAAATTAACAACATTTCATTGTTACCCTGATTCTTCCCAGGCAGAGCCCTGTGCAGGTAGCACCAGCAAAACCTGCAAACAGTAACTGATTTTACAATAGAATTTGCTTCTTACAGGCAGTATTATTTACTTAAGCTTTAATATACAGTTCGAAATAAGATTTGCTTTCATGGAAAAACACTAAAACATTTGGCAAAGGAAGAGCCGAATGTTCTCCTTAATTTGTTTTGGCAACTCTGAAAAATAGATCCCATTACGCTCACGTTTGCATTCCAGAAACATAACAACAAATTATCATTTTACGAAAATCAAGATATAATTAAAAATGGGGGGATATAATAAGCAGCAAGTGAAGGCAGAAGAAGGAGGGGGCACATGTGGAAAGCAATGCTTCCAGCACTGGGGAAGGCTGAGGAGGGGAAAAAGCAAAGGACACCAGCTGAAAAGCTATTGCCAGAGCTTATTTATTTTGGAACCAAGAGAGGGGGGGAAACAACAGAAGAGGGAAGGAATTTGAAGTAAAAATTGTTTAGCAAACAGTTAAAATAGTTTCATGCCTTTCTTTCTTTTTTTTTTTTTTGTTTTTAGGGAAGACAATATTTAAACACAGGTTCATATTCATATTTCAGTCATTTGACTTTGGTGGGAAAACAAATATTGAGGAATTAAATACAATTATGGTTTGATTAACTGGAGCTGGTTCCTAAAACCACAAGGTATAGCAGCAAGATTGCATCTGTGTCTTCCCTCAATGCCATCCACATGAGTCACAGCGAGGCAGGAAAGCTGTTGACAAATTAATACTTTAAGAAAATAAACTATGGTCATGTTGAACATAGAGCAACTTTATCCTGATTAATTTGTGTTGGAGTGGCTCCAGCGCCCTTTACAAAGCCGCGCAGTTTGTACAAATGTAATTTCCTAATATTTACATGAGGAAAGCCTCAGCCGTTAAGATTTGCCTCCAGTGTGAGTTTTGTGGTTAGCAAAAAGACAATAAAAATACAGAGAGGTAATTGTAAGCACATTTGGAAAAAAAAAAAAAAAAAAGAAAAGGGAGAGAGAGAGAGAGGGGAGGAAAAAAAAAGATCCCTGTTTCTCTCCACTCCTCCTTGCAGAGCCCTATAAAAGTGGCAGTGCCGCGGCTGGCGGGGACGCGGTGCCAGGCTCGGGGCTCCGCGACACCCAACGCTCCCAACGCCTGGAGCGGCACCCCCGAACCTCCAGCGCCCCAAATTCCCGGGCATGGGGCTCCCCACCAACACCCGCTGCTCCAAACCCCGTCCCCAGCCTCGCCCCACGCTCTCTGTCATTTTACGTCTTTATTTAAATACAGTGTCAGGCGCTCGTACAATTGTCAAATTTAATAAATATGAGGAGGGGAGATGCAGTTAGAAGTGTTGCTTTGTTTGAAGAATATTAAAAATAACCTTTAGTTTTAATGAGATTTCTCTCTTTCCCCCCCCCCCCCAATCAGTTTACACAATTTTCCAGATGCAAAATGAGCTTTTGGCTGTAAAATATTTTATCACATTGTCTTACACAATAAAGATTAGATGTTTTTGCTCTCTCTCAACTCCACCGCAATTATTTTTTAGTGTTTGCAAATCATAATATCATTTAAAAACCATATTTTATACCTCATCTAAAATACTTTTATAGCAGTGTGATGAAAAAAACCCAACACAACATCTATTTAACTACTCTTTTAAGTGGCTGTAATATGCTTTAGTATAATTTCCCAGAAAAAGGCACAGCTAAAAAAGCTTAGCTGTTCTTGAAAACAAATCTCCCAAGAAGCATCTTTGCAAAAAATCCCCAGAATTTAATTCCCCTGGCTGAGGAGCCCAGAGAGCCTGAATATAAAAATAGTAGCCCTGTCATTTCACATTCATTAAGTGTGAAACTCAGAAATTAATAATGTAAAAATATGCTTTTTAATTAGTCTTACATTCTGCCCAATGTACTTAAATGGGATCAGCAGCTCCCTAATGATTTTTTTCTTAATAAAGTATTAGCCTGTGATGCACTGGGGTTGACAGGTATGATAAACTGGAAAGTACTTTTGGAGGCGTATGAATGATACCAAAATAGTACTCTCCCATTTAAATGTAATTAACATCAGGGAGCAATATTACATGAAGAGAGAAGCCTGCAAGATTTTTATTCCAGGGTATTTTTTTTTTCATTTCTTGTTTTATGAGTAGTTTGATGATTGCAGCAGTGATTTTATAATTTAATTACCTTTGTTGAAAGCTAAGCTTTTGCTAATAGCAGGTCAACAGGATCATAAAGCAGCCTTCAAAAATATTAAAAAGGAGGTAAATCCCCTCAGCTAAACCTGCACAATAAGAATGCGGGTGCGCATGTGTGGATGCAAAAGGTTTTATGGACGTATGGATATACAGGCTCCACGCCTGTTCCCCTGTTATTTGTTTACTGTGTTATTGCAAATCAGTATTTACTCTCCAAAGGGCTCTGTTATACATTAATTATAATTTTTTAAAGAAAAGAAAAAAGGAGGGAAAAATAAGAGAAAAATAAAATTAAGAAAAAAAAAATAAGAGGGGAGAAAAGAGAATTTTTTAAAAAAGAAGTAATTTAAAAATTGAGAGAAAAATTTAAAAATAGGGGAAGAATAATTAAAAAAACCCAAAGTTGTGGAGAAATCCATCTGACACAGCCTGGATTTTCCCAGGACCAGTAGGGCTGAGGAGTGAAGCCACTCACTCTGGAGTAGGACCAGGATTCTCAGTTCCAGCATCCCTTCCACAAACGCTTTTCACTTTTTTCCATTTCCAAAGGAGCCGACTCTACACCAGGAGATAAAAGATCACTGTTGACCTGCACTGCTTGCGCAGGAGTATTCCCTAACTTATTTATATGCCAAATGTCACTTGTGTTTACTGAAGAATTTCTCCTCATATCTCGGAGTCACAGCGCTCCCCAAAGATGCACTTGCCATAGGGTAAACAAGCAGGGAGGAGGGCAGCATTCCCAGCTCCCTCCTTCCCAAACCAGAGGCTCCTCCATGGGAGTCACCTTCCCCAGCACACCCTGACATTTCTCTTTGCAGGCTGGTGGATGGATGGGTTGAGGTGACAGATGACAGGAATGGCTCAGGACACGGATTCATGGTGTCACTGGGGATGTGGCTCCATGTGCCTCCTGCCCTACTTTCAGTGTCTCTTCTCCACCATGGTTCCAAGTTGGAATAAAGGGAAACTTGGAGCTGGCCAACCTATCCAGGCAAAACCATGGTCAGACCACAGATAATGAAATGGATTTTTTATTTTCATACTGGTTTTCATTTGGCTTTGGGAAAATAGTCAATCCAACAAACAAACAAACAATCTACAATTTTTTTTTTTTTTAAACTCTATCTTCCATTATAAACATACCCTTCAAGGCTGATCCTGGTTCTGAATATCCCAACTAAACTGGAAGGTCTTAGGCCAAGTGAAGCACCCATCCAGCAGCCAAGGTGGGGTCAAACATCAAGGTACAGTCATACAGAGGGGGTTCAGGTTTAACACTCAGCAAGAATTCTTCATGGAAAGGGTTGGCAGGCATTGGAATGGGGCCTAAGGAGCAGCTGGATGTGGCACTCAGTGCTCTGGGCTGGGTGACAAGCTGGGGATCGGCAGTCCTGGAGATCTTTTCCCACCTTAACAATTCTGTGATTCCCCATGAATGCAGTGCCACACTGATGTGGGGTGGGGGGCTCAGGGCCCAAATGGCAGCACTGCCACACGGGAATGCAGCTCCATCACTCCAGCACATCCATTTCTCCTACTTTGGTAACTTAAAACGTCCTTTAAAAATGCGATCATGAAATGTCATTTCTTTCCTATTTATCTTGGCGCTACAAAACTGCCCAACTATTGGCTATACGTGAGCTCTTTTATAATATTTTTCCAATCACAAACGCCATTCCATGGCTCCCCAGGGATCCCTGTGATGGATCTATCTATCTATCTATCTATTTACGTGTTCATGAATCAAATCATTGGACTGGAGAAAGTTTGGACAATCTACAGCTTTCATAAGATTTCACCCAACTTACACTTCACGGGAGATTTCCAGGAGTGTGATGTTATTTGCACCCCTCTCCTCTTTCCCCACGGGATTTACTGCACCCACCCCAAGATCCAAGCTTAAAATGCATGTCCAGCTCCCAGCCTTCAAAGGGAGTTTTCCAGGAGCAGGGATGTTTTAATGGGCAGCTGAATCAGAAACTAATCATCCGAACTGCCCTCATGTAAACATGCCCTGGAAATTTTATTACGGAGATATTTGGGGTTTTCCTGATAGAGAATAAAAGACAAATAATCGAACTTATTGGAAAATATTTACATAGGGCCACAGAGTGCAAACCTTGGGAAAGCTGAGCAGTATTTGCTCAGAGGAATAGCCCTGGTGCAGGCAGAGGAGCGGATACTGCTCGGCTGTCCAGGGAATTGGAGGGAGTTTGTCTGAGTCAGACATGCCGGCGATGGCCCCACACTGGGGCATCATAATGCTTTAATTAATTAATGTCTGTAAACTGTTTGGTGATCTTGGGATGAAAGGAGTTCTGGAAATGCCAGGTATTATTGAAAATTAATTACTCCAGCCTTCCCCCCAAATCTTGCTAAACATATTTCATTTTTTAATCTATCCTGCTGCTTTAATAAAGCTCATTGCAGAATTATTTTCTGCTAAATATTAAAGGAAAAAAAAGAGAGGGATCCATTTAAGCAGAGGATTGAGCTGCAGCAGAAAATATTGTACAAAACTCACAGATTGGGGGGACAAAGTCTCTGTGTGTGAGGCAGGTACAGGCAGAGGACACTGTGGTGAGAACAAGCTCAATCTGTGTGTCCTTATCGTCCCTCTCAGGGGCCAAGGCAAGACCTGGCATTCACATGGGGCTGGAGAACCCCACTCCCATGGGGAAACAAAGCTGTGGGAGAGGCAGGACCAGTCTGAGGCATCCAAGGACAGCACGGACTGTGCAGCCCCCGCCACGTGCCGGCGAATCAATCACTCCCAATGCTATTCATCACTCCATCACAGGAGACAGAACATTTGTATTATTTATACAAGTCTGAAATCATTTGGTGTTACTTACTGAAGAGTCACCTTCCACATCGTCATGGAGCAGAAGTCCCAGAAGAGACTCCATGTCCAAGCCCCACCAAGCACATTCCAGATGTGGTCTAAACAATAAACCACAACAGATAAAATAGACATTATTATAGTTTGGCTTTGCTTTATTTTTTTTCAATGCTGCAGCTTTCTACACGTGAATTTTAATTTACGTAACACAGCAATTAAAGATTTTGTTTACTTATAAGGGCCAGGCCTATGGTCTGGCTTGGGTGCTACAGGACTGGTAGAGTTGGAGCATCTTTCAACTCTTCTTGGGCCAAATCAACACTTCTACCACTGCAAGCAGACAAAGCCAGTGTGTAACACACATCTCCTAAGTTCAGGGAGAAAATGGAAGGAAAATGTCCCAGTGAAATTTCCTATCTCTAAAATGATCTTACTCTGTACCCTGCAGAGATGTGGGCCTTGCAATGACCTGTCTTCTCCTGGAGCATCCCAGTCCATTTCTCTTGGAGCCATTTGAGCTTGCTGGGATAAGCAAACAGCTGCGTTAGTAGGGCATTCATGGTCACTCCAGCAAGAGCAACCATCAGCACTGATCTCTGCTCCTCCTCCTCCTTCTCCTCCTTCTCCTCCTCCTCCGTTTCCTCCTTCTTCTTCTCCAAAGTACATCCTCAGTCATGCATGAATGAAAGTGGGAACTTCCATTCCACTCCTTCAACTTTTTCCCAAAAATTCTGAAAGAGATGAAGCCCTTCCTTACAATATTCAGTCAAATCCACAGGTCAAGTGTCACGTCTCACCAACTTTCCACAGAAAAACACACGTTTCACCAAATATTCCTCGGGCTACTTCTGAAACTGAACAGCAGATGGGGCTACAGAAATCATCACATTAAAAAAAATTATATGAAAACCAGCCTTTTACATTCTGAAAAGCAATTTATTCTACACCATTTCAAAAAATAAATAGGATTCTCCTTTTCTGTTTTAAGACATCAATGAATCTGTCGCATAATGGGCTTTTGTAAATGAGATTATCCTTGATAATCTCATTAGCTGAAATTATTTTACTTTTCTAACATGGTAGATTTTTAAATACCTTTTATTTCAGATCCCTCTGGGCACGTTGCAGTGAAATTTACTATTAAGCAAAATAATTATCTATCTCAAACCTTAATGCTAAAAAGTAGAAAAATAAAATAATTACAATCTAAGGGCAGATATTAGAATGGAGAAAGTACAAGGAGGAAAAGGGAAATTTCCACAAGTGGGCAAATATCTTCTCACTGTTAATAAACAAACCATACTTGTTTTCCTAGGAATGTGAAGACACAATTAGTGGTTGATGCAAATGACAGGTTTGTTTTGAGGTGGGGTTTGCACCTCCTGTGGTGACTCCAAGTACGGTGACTTCGCCCTTGGGATGGACGATGTTCCTCCAGCTCCCACCCAGGAGCTGCATCACACACTTCCCACCCAGACCTGAGCAATTAAGGAGTGTGAGTTGTTTCAAAATCAGCTTAAATCTGTTTTGTTTTGGTTTTGTTTTTTTTTTCCATGTGGAAGTTTGCAGCTGTAATGGGATTACGGTGTCGGCAGAGGGAGGGAAGTTTGCAGCTGTACTGGTTCAGGGGGTAGGAAGCAGCTGTTAAAATAGAGGGCTAATGGTGATTAATTCTTATTATGTGTTTGAAGATCTCACAATGAGTTCAGGAACCAAACCCTCCCTCAGGGAATAAACTGAAGGAGGAGGATTTAAAAAGAGGGAGAATAGAAGGGGAATTTTAATGTACATTTGGCCTAAATGGCCTGGTCTTAAATCACTTTATTAATATTTAAGTAAAATTTAAGTCAATATTATTAAGGCAAAAAATATCTAGCCTGGGAAACCTGTAATTCCTGCATATTTATGTAGAATGGGAGATCACCTGTGCTTCCTTAAAAATACACATTCCAGGGCCAGCAGGGGAACATCCCTTCAGCTAGTAGGGGATGGATGCTGCCACACACTGATGGGAGAACCTCCTGATCCCCACAGCCTTTCTCCAGCAGCTCCATGCCCAAACCACAATGGGAAGAGGTGGGAAGAGACCCCCTCCCACTTCTGCATCCACCAGCACAGTGAGGGAAGCTGGTAGTGATGGGGAGGAAGCAGCACAAAGAACCCAACCTGGGCTTGGCTCCATTTGCAGCCTCTGGGGAACCTGCAGCATTTCCCAGTTCCAGGACAGCTCGCATCAGAGCCAGGTTATTTGTTGCAATATTGTGGCCGGGTCCTACAGCTGCTTTGAAGAGGTCTGTGATGTGCTGGGTGTGCTGGGGCTTCCCCAGAGCACAGCAGGTGAAAGATATGAGATTTCTATTTATATACCACAGCCTGGCCAGGAGAGTGACAATTTAACAGCAAAGGTATGGGGAGAGAGCAGCAGCCCGGCAAGGCAGGCAGGGCAGGAAAGGTTTCCCTTGAATCCCTGGGAAATGGTGACCAGCACAGGTGACAGCAGGGTCCTCAGAGCCCCCAGCCCCTCTTCCCTTGGGGAATTTCCCCCAACTCATCCATTCTGCACTTTAAAAACGTGAGGTGATGACTCTCAGGGCCCTCCTGAAGACAAGTAAATGAAGGAAGCAAAAGTAAAGAAGGTGAAAGCAGCAGCAGGACAAACTCCAAGATCTGGGGTTTGTTTTTCAGCCAAGGCTTTAATGAGGATTAATCAAATATCACACATGCAGAGAGATTTTCATGAATTATTAGAGGGGAGAAATGGCTGGGAAAATGAAGAAAAAGCTAAACTTTTTTTTTTTATGTGAACTTTTGCTTTCTGAGCTTAAACTTTGAGATCATACTAATCTTTTCAAAGCTCAAAGAGATCACAGAAAGATTTATTTCAGGACCAAAAAAGAAATTCCTTTACCAAAATACCTCTGTCTGTGATTTTCCTGTTTCCACATTTTTAACATGTTTTGTTTTTCAGATATGAAAGAATTGACAACAATAACTCAGGGCTGTACATCCAGAGCACCACAGAATCCTGCCTTTCACATGGCTGCAGCAGATACCCATTCCCAGCAGAGCTGGTTAGTAAATTAAACCATTCCTTCTAGCAGCAACTGATAACTTGGAGCTGATGATGTAGGTCAGAGACATCTGCAGTAAATTATACCCCTCACCACAGGAGGAAGTGGAACACTTGGGACATGGAGATTGTGTGGATTCCATATTGGAGACCAAAATACACATTTTTACTCATAGCTGCTGCATAACCAGATACCTCACTTGGGTTATTTTGCACCCAAGTCTTCATGGGTCAGTGATAAGGTTTAGGATGGATTTATGGGCTGAGAGTCAAAGACTGGAAAGTGGAATAGGATGGGGTTTAGGTGCTGGGTGCTCAACCACAGAAGCAGCCCAGATGCCCAGAAAAATACAGGATTGCCTGAAAATTCCTGTGAGTTGGCTTGCTGGCTTTGTGGGAGGCTTGGGTGTCAGCAGTGTGTCCATGTTATAATTAATAAGCAATTTCTGTTTGAATGGCGTGTTTTGTCTTCCTTTGAGCACGTTCTCTGCAAAGACAAAGATCAAGACAAACCTACTCAGAACACAACGAAGATAAAAGGGAATCATAAAAAGAGACAGACAGAGGAAAAGGAAGAACAAGGAAAAAGAGAAGACAAAGAACAGGGAGACACCAAAGAGGACACAGAACAAAGATAGGCAAAATGAAAAGACAAAGAAAAGTAAAGACAAAGAACAGAGATGATAGAGCACCACAAAATATGTAAGAGAGGCACAAAAGGGAAAAGGGGGGAAAACAGTGACTGAGAACAAAGAGCAGAGAACAGAGCAAGAGCAGAAACGCACAGGAAGGGAGAAAAATGGGAGAGAATTCAGCCAAGATGAGGCATGAAAAACAGCCCAAAGAACAAGCAAAAATAAACACAATGAGGAGCAAAAACAGCTAATCATCTTCTGATTTGCATTAAAAAATAAGTCATGGGAACAGAGGCTCAGCGACAGAAATGTTGACAAGTTGAATGTCAAGATTTCTCATGTCCTCTAAATTCAGTCATCCTGTCACTACTTATGAAACTGGCTGTGGGAGAAGGGAATGGGAGCTGAAGGATTAGTGCCTGTTGTGGAAGGAATAGCAGGAACCAGTGCTGGCTACAGAAGCAATTTAGAGGGAAGTTTTTGTAAGCAAGAGGTGCCCAAAAAGCAGTCAAAATTCCTTTTTAAAAGCAGGAGATTAATTTTCATGATGAACCAAGAAAATGCTCATGCTTTTTCTTCTGCAGCTTTGCAATAAAGGAGTGCCAGAAATTCTGATGTACAGCTGTACATGTCTAATTTTAATATTTCTGTAGGCAGGTCTAGGTTGGATTTAGAAAAAGGTTCTTCCCCAGAGGGTGCTGGCACTGCCCAGGCTCCCCAGGGAATGGGCACGGCCCAGAGGCTGCCAGAGCTCCAGGAGAGTTTAGACAGCACTGCCAGGGATGCACAGGGTGGGATTTTGGGGTGTCTGTGCAGGGCCAGGAGCTGGACTGGATGATCCTCATGGGTCCCTTCCAGCTCAGGGAATTCTATGAGTCTGTGAAAAATCATATTTTAAAACATCAGCTTTACTGAAGCAGTTAATAAAAACCCAGCCGTGGTAGAATCGCCAAGAGCTGTGGGTTTTGAGCAGGCCAAGACAGTCTGTATGGAATTTAACCAGAGAGGCCACAGAGGCTTCAGTCCTGCTGCAAAAACTGCACCAATAAATCATTTCCAAATCTTGACAATGGGCAAAAAAATAATTTATAAGAGGTACAGAAGTTCATGGTGAACATGAACACTCAGGAGATTTGTGCATGCTACAGAAAGGTAAAAAGGGCTGGTGGATTCTGGGGTTTCCCTGTTGGCAAGAGCAGCAGGAGGACACCAGAGCGATGGAGCCAAGCCAGGCAGGGAAAAGTTGAGGCTGTCCCATCCCTGGAAGTGTCCAAGGCCAGGCTGGACAGGGCTTGGAGCAACCTGGAATGATGGAAAGTGTCCCTGCCCATGGCAGGGGGTGGGACTGGATGGGCTTTTATGTTCTGCACATTTACAGGAGCTCCTCACCTGCTTGGTGGCCCATTGTGTTTCATGGCAGAGCTGAGGGACTGGGATGAAAATGTCATTTTTCAAATCTGAGACAAAAAAACTCTGATTTTGTAAAATACACTTGGAAGAAACTCAAAAGGTGCAGAGTCCAGTTTGGTCTCTTCACACCAGATCTCCCAAGGGATATCTGGGTCTGGTCCTACAGATGTTCCAAAGCATAAATTAAGAAAATAATGTTCTCTTTCAGGTTTCTTGCAGACCAAAGGAGGTCTGGAATTTCATTGGCCATACAAATGCAGAATTGTACTACAGAAGTTTCTTGAGCTGCCACAGCTTTCCAAAACTGAATCTTCAAAGAATTTGTGTTACTTTTCTTACTGAAACATTACTTTTAATCCATATACAGGATCAGCTGCCATGAAGGCCTCAACTATCACTGATTTTATCCTTTTGTCCCTGCTGCAATATGTTATCTGTTATTTTATTGTTAATCATTAACATCTCTATGGAATTTGATGTCACTAATACACAGACCCATCCTCCCTGATATTCCTCATCCCTCATTCTGTGTGCTGGCAGCACAGAAAAACTGGAGTGCACTGGGTTAAATGCTTCCCATGCTGCTCCTTGGTTATATTTTATTTACCAGGATTTCTATAATGTGCAATGTTTTTTTTCCTTTTGAGATTTCCCCATTTCTTTCAGAACACTTTCACCTTATTTCCGGGCTGCTTTTCCCCAAGGGGCAAAGTGAAGGTTCAGAAACTTCATGTGAACTTCCTGAAAAAGAAACAGATCACCTATTAGGAAACCCAAAAGGAATGTGCTGTGAATATGGTTTAATATGTCCCAAAGAAAGAGCTGCCTCTAATCACAACGTAAGATCTAAAATTCATTGTTGTACTCAGTTTATTGATTTACTAATGTTTTTATTATTTTTGATTTTGATGGCAGATGTAATTCTATTTCCATTATTTGATTCAGGTTAATCAGGGGATAATGTGCTTCTTTTATTCTTTCACCTAAAGAGTCTTCAGGTGCTCAAGACACACATCCAGAACTGCAAATCAAATCCCCTTCTGTGCTGCAATTATGGCTATTTCCTTACAAAATTATAATCTGTTTAGAATCTAAGGTTAGTATTTGAATTGAAATAGTTGCACACATACAAATTACATCTAAGGTAGAAAGATTTTTGTGAGGCTCTGTCCTTTCAGGTGCTTTCACTGCTTTTAAAATACTTGTAAGTGATTTTGGGGATGCACCACTGCTCCTTTGCCCCAAAACCTCTCTGGAGACATTGCTGCTGGATGTGCTCATCCCATCCCTCCAGACCTCGGGAAGAGCAAATCTGACAAAGGTCCTGCAGACAACATCTGTGAAAATGAAAAAAACAACTCACCAAGACCTCAGGAACTTTTTGATTTGTTTGGCTTCAGAACCGTTTTGATGATTTAACTCACAGATTGTGGACTTCCCAAATCTTCATTATTTCTGTATCCCAGCACAGAACTTGTATGCTGAATCACTGGTTTTCTTGGAGAACAGCAAATACTGCTCGCAAGAGGTGACCAAAATCAGTTCAGAATATTCAAGGTGAAGGAAAAAACCAGAAAATCATAGCACTGTCAAGGAAAATACCTGTAAGATCAAGTCCAGTCATTAATCCACCACTAAGCCATGTCCCTAAGAACCACAGATACATGTTTTTTAGAAGAGAAATCAGAGAAATGAGATTTTCATGACAGCTGACTTTATTTTACTTGAGAATATTCCATGTATCACTGGTACTTGATACAAAGCCTTGTAAGATCTGGTTGGAAGTTCCTTTTAACACTTTTTATTAAAAGGACACTCTACCATCTGAGTCCTTGTTGCTACAGTCCAAGCTTGGGGTGTCTGAAATAAATAAAGTTTAAAAACTGAACCCTAACAGGCTTGAAACTGGAGTAAACAAAACAAAACAAAACAAACAAACAAACAAACAAACAAAAGCCACAAAAACAAATGGAACCCCCACAGCCTGAGGTTATTTCTGGAGACAGACAGAGGAACAGAGACAGCTCTTGGGCACCCCAGGAAAACAGAGGAAACAAATTCTCTCTTCAGGATGTTTAAAGTCAATTTTTTACTCTCTGTTTTCCAGGATTTACAGAGGTCAAAATGAGGATGCTCCCCCAAAACCTCTTTAGGTCCCATTCCCTTTAGGATATGTGAGGATCCACAATCCTGCAGCCAAAACTTCTTTGTCTCACCTGACGATGACATTGGCTCTATAGCACCTACAATGAAATTAAACAGGGGGATAATCCCACACCTCCAATATTCATGGAAAAAATACCTAAATCTGTAAATCTGTGCTTTTTTTTCCCCTTTTTGCTTCGTTTTTCCGTGACAAAAATGAGCGCCATGGGGAAAGCTGCTCTTCTGCCTTTGCGGACTTAGGAAAAGCAGGGGGAATGGGCTGAAATGCAGGGGTGTAATTTAAATGTTATTATGCCTGAGTTAAATCTCTCTCAAAAATTGGCCCCTGCACAAGGCTGAGCTCGGGCACAGCCCCAAACCACAGCTGTAAAAACCTCGCTCATTTGGAAGGTGCAGTTGTGCTGCGGGACAAACACGCGGCTCTTCCCAGCCCGGCCGCTCTTTTCTGCTCGACACTCTCTGAATTTTATCGCTGGAAAATGAGGGGCATCTTACCCAATTAGGTACTCCATGGCCTAATCAGCTTCTTTCCCGACCAGCAGAATGTGATGTGCCTCGGCCCAGCTGTTCCCTGGTGGTGGTGCTGTCAGTCAGATTCTGCTGCAGAGAAAAGCGATGGAGAGCCCAGGACATTCCTGCACATCTGTTAGCTGGAAACAGGGAGAGCAAAGGATGCTACAGCAATTTCCAGGAACAATAAGGATTAGTTGCTCATCTGATACTAACATTGTGCACCTTTCCCTCTTCTTTAGCGTGTCTGTCAAATAATGTAATTATTAAGGACCAGCAATGTGGCTTTTTATGTGAACCAGCGCTGACTATGCTGGAGTATTGCATTTTTAATTATTATGATGTTAAATGGCTTTAATTGCTGACACTCTCCTGATTCACAGAGCATTTTTATAACATTTATTAAAAAAAGGCCAAAGTTTATTTTACAGTCTGCAATAAAGCAGAACACAAAACCCAGCAATTGGCTCAATGAGCCCAACACATTAGTTCTATACACAGACTGCATATTATTCTTGCTCTATAAGTGATGTGAAAAGCAAAATTGAAGTCCTGCACAAAATTTGATCATCTTACTTAATAACAACAGATGCTCAGAGCGGTGGCATTTTGAAAAGAGCTCTGTATGCTACTGGTTATTAAATGGCAGGACATTTGGCATCCTCCAGCATTATACCATTTGAAAACCATGGAGTCACATAAATAGCCGATGAGAGCTGGGAGGAAAAAAAAAAAGCCAGCTCCTGTCTGCATAGCAAAACTCATTTCATTTAAAATATTTAAAATGAGCAGGCTGCCTTTCAAAAGAAAAGTCTGGAAAACTTAGGGGAGGGGGAGCTTCCCTTTTATCTGGGAAATACAGGAAAGCAAATATGTTGGGAGGAAGAGAAGAAATGGTTCAACAGCACGACTGATCAGCCTTAACTGAGAATGCTAATGGCTTCTGCTGCTTTGTGTCAGGAGCTAGCACAGTTTGGGAAAGGCTCTGGCACCAAATTTCCTCCTTGATTTCAAAAGGAAAATATTGGCAATATGTAAGCAAATTACCATAAATGCAGGACAGCTCAACAATGCGTGGGGATCATTTTAATGGAGCAATTCCTATTAAAAACAGGGAATCACCAAAGACGGTGGCTCACTTTCTTTGTAGGATAAATTCTCCTCACGCAACGTGGGCTGCCTGCAGGTACACCACTGTTAGATTAATATCTACTCTAAAAAGTTCTAATTGAGTTGATGAGCACGTAGAGTGGAGTGTTCTCATTTTTATTTCAGTTTAAGAACAACTCTGTTCCAGTTTTATCAAGGCACAAACCATCAGGATGCATTTTCCCAATGTTTTGCTTAGAACAGCTAATTCTATACTCAGTTCCAAGGAATACCAGCAAAGCTGTGAATAAATACCTACATTAGGTATTTTTACCATTAAAAAAATATATATATATTTTTAAAAACTCCAAATACACAATGGATTTGCCTGCAAGCTGAAGGAAGGATTCGCTGGGCTATAAGGGGGAGGTCTGTGTGCACATTGCTTTTATTTCTACTTAATAAAATCTTGAAGATTGGGTTATAATGGCCGTGCTTCCCCATGCTCAAGTATGGCATGGCAAATGGTGCCACTGTCATTAAGGGTGCATTGTTGTTTGTTTTATGCTAATCTTCCTTCAGTGTGACAGACTGTCACCTGCATGGGGGGTAACTTTCAGCACTATATTAGCCCATATGGCACAAGCTAAATTGTATCTAAGCTATGGGCTAATTATGGATGAGTTAATAAAACCAAGCAATGTCAGTCTGGCCACTTCTTCTGGTCCTCTGCCGACCCCCCAAGTGAGTTATTGCCTGCACTGTTCTCTTAAACTATTTTCGTTTTTGCTCTCCGCAACTGCTGCCAAGCTTTATGGTTATAACACTTTAATCCTTCTCCTTTCTCAATCCGGTGCAAGATGAGATTAAAACAATCTCTGCACACTTTTTCCATGTGATAACTTTCCCTGCAAATCAAGAGGCGGTGCAACCTCCCGAATACTAAACACAAACGCACCGCGTTCAGTTTCCTGGAAATCTGCTGGCACAGCTGTGACATAACAAACAGATTTTTGTATTTTCAGGGAGGGAAAAACACGGTTCATCTTCCTTAAGTACAGGATGAAAGAGATGAACATTTATCCCCTTAAATGCACATCCAAGTAACAGAAAACCATAGGAATGGATGAATCTTTTCACGTGTTTTAAGGTCACGCAAACGCTTAAGTGGTTTTTTGGACAAAGACCCAGCTTCTTTCCCTCCTCCAAAAAGAGGGGAGGGAGAAGACAGTCCCTCCCAAGTGTTAATGTTCCCACATCGCTCCGTCTGCTCTGCTTTGTCCCCACTTGTGCCTTTCAGTTGTCAGCCCTGGCAGCTGTTTCAGGCTCCCTCTTCAGCAAACTTTGCTCTCCCAATTGCTCTGTGCTATGCAGCCAACAAGGAAAGCACAGCAACAAAGTACAGACAGCAAATTTTGGATCAACTGGACAGAAAATGTAGAAAAATCTTGTCAGTGATTAATACAAAAAAAACCCCAAGTATTAATAATAATTTTTAAAGATTTCAGCAACAGGAAAAGAAAAAGGGAGGGGAAATGAAGTGAAATCTCCCATCAGTTCTTTGCCTCCACTCCTGCAAAGCTCCTGTGCCTGAAAGAGCATCTCAGGAGGAGGTGGAGACCAAGCCCAGCTGAGAAGAAAGAATTACTCAAAGACTGCTCAAGTTTTAACTAAACATAACCCCAAACAAATAATTCCAGAAAAATCTCATTTTGGGTGATATATTCTTCAAACCTGTCAATGACGTCTTTCCTCACACTGAACACTGAATTCAGGACTCAGGGTATGAGATATTCAGGATATGAGACACCCAGGACACCACTCAGCTTGTGGCATTGGCCACCCTCAGCCCAAGATCCCAAAGTTTAGGACAGCCTCTCTTTGTCTGTTTGCTTAGCCAAGCCCAAAATTTCTCCATCATTCCACAGGTCTTGTAGGATTTTTCAGGAGTCGGACTTTGATGATCCTTTAGCTCCCTTCCAACTCCAAATAATCTGGGATTTTGTTTTCTTCATTCAGTCCAGCTGAGTTAGCAATGGAGTGCGACAATGAGAAGGCTCAAGCATAAAACTTCTGGAGCAAAATATAGAAAGTGAGAAGTGTGAATTTGGATGTGGTAGCAGATACTCAGAACTTTCAGCTCTCCCTAGAGGGGTGTTAAAACCTCCCTGTAAGCAAATGTTGGAATTATGTCAGTACAGTGAAGATACTTAATAAAAACTTGCATTAAAAAAAAAAAAAATCCTTCCAGCCCAAGCAGCCTCATTTTTAGATAAAGCTCTGCAGCTCTGAAAGGAAATACCTCAAGGTTGCTGTGCTTTGGAGTGATTACTTCCCCATCACAACTTCATACCCCTTTCAACACAAGTATGAAATAAATAAGGAGATTTCTTGTCCTTTATTTCCTGTAAGGAACAATGCCATGTTTCACACAATGCCTTGTTAAATACAAAGTCATCAGGCAAACTGCCTTTAAACCCATCATATATACTGAAGTGTTTCATCTGGAACAGGAATTGTTTTTCCAATTCTGAATTTTACTCTCTCCTTGGCTTTATCCTCTTTCCCTTCTTGTTTTCTTCCCTTATTTTATAGACAGTCTGTTAATCTACTCAGACCTACAGTACTGAAAGCTCTTCTCACTCAGGGAATCACCTCTGGAAGTGTATTTTTGCCTTAAAAGTCAAGTTCAGACCTAATCACCACTTAAATAGCACAAGGAGACCAAGGCAATATCGTTGCTATTCAAGTTACTTAGTCCTTTGCTCAACAAAAATTCTTCCCTAGACTATTCCCTCACAGAATTGAACCCATTGGTTTGAAACTGAGATTAAGTTTTCCCTCTAAAAGATTAACCTAATTAAATTGAATTCTAATTCCATTCAAATAAATTCTGCAGTTCTGGAAAATCTTAAGGTTCACGTTACCCCTTCAGTGACTCCAACAGCCCTTTCTGGCCTGGTGGAGCTCAACTGGTCTATGATTCTGTGAAATTACTTAATATATTAATTAAGAATGGCAAAGCCTAGTTCAGCCTTCAAAGCTGAACAGGTGCCTCTTACCTTGTTTTCTCTGGAACACCAAGGAACTTTTTTTCTTTGTCCCGTTTTAAAAACACTGACACAGAAATTACTGCATTGTGCTTTTCTTTCAAATACCAGGACCAATAAAAGTGCCTTTTCTTGGTCAACTGAGGTGATTTGTTTGCAGAATATTCTTCCCCCAGTGGGTGGTTGGGTGCTGGAACAGGTTCCCCAAGGAACTGTTTTTGGCACAAGCCTGTCAGAGTCCAAGAAGAGCTTGGAAAATGCTCCCAGGCACAGGGTGGGATTGTTGGGATGTCCAGGCAGGACCAGGAGATGGACTCGATGATCCCTGCAGGTCCCCTCCACCTCAAGATATTCTGATTCTATTAATATTCCCCAAACCTCTTTTCAGAGACTTCAGCAAGCTGGGCAAGGCAATCAGCAGCTTCAGGAGCTGGAAGCCTCTAGTTCTGATCTGCAACCCAAAACTCGACTGCAGGAGGGTTCACAGGAGCAAACACCCCACAGAAGATGTTTGTGGCTCTGTGGCTGGATCAATTCCTTCCTACACAAGCTTTTCTTGTAACAAACTCTCTCCAAATGACCAGCCAGGCTCTGTGACCTAGCCTTTGTTCTCATGAATTGCACCTCAGGTTGCTTCCTCCTTGGTAGTCATCGCTCTCCTCTCTCACCTGATGTTTGAAGAGATCTAAAGATTAGACCTCTTAACGGCACACTGTGTTCACTATACAAATTATTGATCGCTCGCTTTTAGAGCATTTTTCTCGCTGCCTGCTGGAGTGAATTGAGAACAAAATACAGCTGATAATATGTGCCCTTTCCTCAAGTTCAACCACCAGAACGCTTGGGTTACAATCTCACAGGATGTTTCTACCATTATCTGGCTCCCCCCAACCAGTAACACTCAGGTTTTGAGAAGCAGAGCAGCCCTCACTGATAGCCTGAGACATTAATTATCTCTCTGTAATAGCTGCATATCTGGATTCTATAATAGAATCTAGATT